GAGAGAGAGAGAGAGCCAGAGAGAGACACATTTATTATCATCTTTAGAGTAGGCTCTTTTAAGAAGGAATAAAAAACTATAGCGATAAGAAAATCTCTTTAATCATATAACACAACAGAAATTTTATTTTACAGTTCATGTTCAAAGTATTAGAAAAAACACATGGTATTCGAGATCAGTTGCTTAAAATTGTGGATTCTGTATATTTTATCCGGATTTTTATTTCGCGAAAATTAATTTTATATTAAAAGTCTTTTACAGCAAAATTTATTTGAAATTCAAAGAGGAAAATAAAAAAACATTACTTCTAAGCTGTAAAACTGGTTAGTTTTTGACACAAACCGTATGCAGAATATCTCCGAGGAGAAGCTGTGCGCCGCAGTTGATCGAAAGGAGGACAACTAGAGTGCATAACGTAGTCAAAGGGCGTCTCCGGAATCGATCGAGGGTGAATCGCGTGATTCCCGCCTCGCTCCTTCCAGCGCGCGATGCCCATTTCCTCCGATCTTGGCCCCAGGAATCTTTCGATCTGCCGGATCTGGGTCGCCGCGTCGCACCTATCCTCCCCACTTCCCTTCGATTTTAGGCAAGAACGGCGCCCGATTGTCTCAGCCTTTGAAACAAACGTAGATACGCCGATGGTTACGCGATGGAATTAGCGGCGGGATTTCTCGTCGAAGAAGGGGGAAGCACGACGAGGCGCCCGGCGATTATCGAGGAACGTGAATGGGTAACACGTGAGCAGCTTGCAAATCCGCACGTCGTTCGCCGATTGCGAGACTTCTGTGATTTCGCCGGCGATTTTTTCTTTCACGCCGAGACGTGTCTGGAGTAGCGAAGTGCGCTCTTAATCTGGACCTCCGATACGTTAATGGCGGCAGACAGCGACCGATAACGATCAAACGCATGATGGATGCGAATTCTCCTGGTATTTGGATTAAAATTTCTGGAGCAATTTTTTGCAATAAAATTTTTTAAAATTAAAATTGCAGTCACAGATGTTTTAATTTGTTCCTATATCTGATATATGACATGTCTTTATTTGTTTCGCAATCTTTTATCAATTTAGCGATAAAAATACATTATTGATCCACACTAGCGGATTCTGCTGTCGATAATAGGGGGGTTTTGACCTGCTTTAATATTTTTTACCAAGATTTTTGAAACTGATCCAGCAAAATTAATTTTTTTTAACTTGGAAGGGGGGGGGGTTTAACCCCAAAACCCTCTCCCCAGGATCCGCCAGTGATTGATCCATATTTTATAAGTTGCGCTTGCGTTTTCTGAAAGATGCGTTGCTCGATCTTGCATTTTCAAGTGAATAAAATCAAGTGAAAATGTACTAAAAATAAAAGAAAATATTGATTTTTTAAATTTTCTATAGAAATTTCAAACTTTTTTATTCAATTATTCACGAATTTTCATATACTTTATTCCATCCTAATATTGAGGTCAATCGATGACGAATTAAAGAAGTAGGGAATCTCCTGTCTGTGAAAATCAACATCAATATCAATGTTGAGGAAATATTAACACAAGCGGAAAAATCCTGTGATTACAAACCCGCACGTACGGCTGGTAAAATAGTATACTATCCTTTTCTTATTTTTATTTCCTATTACTCAAGTGTCAATGAGCGACACTTTTTCGCAATGGATCAGTTAACGAGCCCGGGTGTGTGGCCGGTTCCCCAATCAAGCGCGATTGTCCCGAAATGCGTAAGTGGCTCGCTCGTAAAAGCGACCCCAAGTTTGGCGCGGTTGGACACGTGTACGCTCCGCGGCCAACCGCGACAGGCGGACCGAGGGATACTGTCGCTTGTATTCGGTACATCACGCGGCCACCCTCGATGGTCGCTTTTCTTCTCGGAAGGTGAATGCGCATATACCCGCAGCACGGCCGCAGATTATTGCGCCAGGCAAAATTAATTTCCTACGCGAACTTAGGGGCTCCTAAAGGCTTAGGTCACCCCGGATAATCGAAAAAGTGGCCAAGTTTGGACTTTTAATTAAATATAGTTATTAAATATCGCATTACATATAAAATGAAACGAATGCTTCCTATCATATATATATCGAATATGATGACATTTATTTAAAAATTGATATATTTCAAAGCAAGCTTTTCCATCTTTGCAATTGCTACGTTAATGAGAAGTTAAAGAAATGATAACAATATCACAATACAAGAATATCTGTTACAAATTAATTATTTATAATGCCAGATATTTTATTAGGAAGTGTGGTTTTTTTTTTATAAATAATATATATTATATAAAAATTCTTTTCCTATTAAAAACAATACTGATTTTACTCTATCAAATTAGATTAACAACAAATTTATTTACGCATTTTTTTATATTTTTTTATATTTTTCTGTTTTGAAAAATGGCTTGCATGATTTCGTACAATTTTATGTCGTGTATTTTGTGAAAGATTTCATTAAAAGACGCAGCGGAGCGCGCAATCTTTGGCAGAGAACCCCGTTTACTCGCGTCGTATGAGGCGCTTCTTTTCTGGGAGCAACAATTTTTATAGCGACCTGGGTATAAAGGTACTGCCCTCCTTCTTGTCGTAGCCTCGTTTCTTTATCGATATTTTTCGACAGCGAAAAGCGGAGAACGAGACACACATTTTGACTTCCGACCATCCTTTGTGTTTCAGAATGACACGATGCAAGTAGTGTGGCAATATCACGTCGAGGAGCCGGTGTCAGCGGCCGGAGTCTTGCCCGATCATGGCGCAGTGCGAGGATCGAGGCCATTGTACTTGGTACAGAGGGACGCGCAGCCGAGACGAAACTCGCGTCAGAATCAAGACATGGAACCACCTCTGAAGATCTGGGATATTTTAAATAAGCAGGTAAGTCGCTGTATTTATCTCTATTTTTCTTATATCTTTATTTTTCTTTCCTTTACTGTCACTTATCATAAATTGCTGAGAAATGGCATATTATCTTGAACAATTAAATGCTATATTATAGCTCATTTATCCCTTATCGTTTGCTACCAAGCTATCTTTGAATTTATAAATAATTTGTTATGATAAAAAAATTAGAATTGTTGAGCAAAATTCTGTATAATCCTATTTAACTTTTAAATATTCCTACATATTCATAAGACATGACCTACAAGTTAAATTAATATGAAATATGATAAGTGCAATAAAGATATATAGATAAGTATCAAGATAAATATTTAACGAACGAACTTAATTGGCTGAAGGAGAAAATATTTCGTATCGTTCTTGACGTAATTAAAGAAGCGGAAGCAAAAGAGAGAGCGAGAAAGAGAGAGAGAGAGCAGTTGGAGCATATTGCATTTATTACGATTCGCGTTATTGCGACGGCACGTGACAAGAAACAAGAACAAAGTTAATATTCATCCTGACCGCGAAGAAATTCGCGAGCGCGAACAAAGACGATTAAAGAGTTTTAATTAGAGTTCACGAAAGTGGATCCGCCATCGGCGTTGTGATATTGGACTCGATTTACGCGGAGGACAGATTCTAACAGGTTTTATAAAAGTATTTAAGGTAACCAAAGTTACATTAGCCAGACTTCGCTGACGAATTATCGTCAGCATGGTAATTCATTATTAACTTAGCGTTAATTTTCACCCGAGAATATGTAGTTTCGCACTGAAGATTTTTGAAAATTGGATTAAAAGAGAAATTGTCGAAGTATCCAATTCGGAGTATTTAAAATTGCTTGGTAAAATTAGCGCTTGATTTCTTTTATGCAAAAGTCCTTCAGTTGAGAATTATTGCGCGTTGATGTCTCGATGTTGAATCTCAACGGAGAAAATCGAGAATTTTCACGAACGAGAGAGAAACTAGTCTCACGCGATCGGCGTTTTGACACCGACGCAGACGCGGTTGATTATTCGTTTATCCGGATCCTAGACGCGAACGAACTTTTTCAAAACCCTCTCTCTTTCTCCCCCGTCATGCAGTTTTGTTTCCGTCACCCGTAGACACGCGTGTACATCGCGTGTGCGTATGTCACGCGCCGCGAGATGAATGTTCGAACGCATTTAGCGTGTTCGGCATGCGCGAGACTGGATTTTTATCGGAGTGCGAGCGGAATCGTATGTGCGAGAGGGAGAAAGAGAGAGAAAGCATTGTGCGCCGAATTTATGATGGCATAAATCTTAACCGGGTCACATCCGGCAAAAACTATTCGTTCATTAGCGTCGCCGGGTCGTAGATTACGAGGTCAGCGCGCTATCGCCCTGAATCGGACAATGCTAATTCCACCGTCTGCTCTGGCGCTGTTTATAGTTTATATCGAGACCGGAATCGGGCCACGCTCGCGTATTTTGCTCGTTGGCTCGCGAAAAAGTGCAAGATCACTCGCTGAATGTGCTGATAAATGATCCGGAAATGTTGCACCACGTGTAATATCGTTTGAGACAAGCGAGCGCGGAATGTATTTGCTCGCAAACCGGATATATTTTCAGTTTGCCGAATTTTGCCATTTTTGAAACGGAACTCGGGGCTGCTTCGTATCGCGAAGATTTCGTTACAGTTGCTGCGGTAGAATAATCGAGATAACAAGTTTGGTCTTTCCGGCTGCGGTTTTCATGTTTGCTTTTCTTCTTCTTTGCCTTTTTTAAAGCAAAAACGCGCGCTTACTTCACTCTAATTGTAAACACAAATGTAAGCACAAAGAAACGCGGCTAAAGAAACTTATTCGTGGTAGCGTTTTAGTATATTTTATTAACAAAATTAAAATTAAATCAAAATTTTTGTCTTTATTTATCTTTGCCGAGATATTGAAACGAATAAAACACAATATAAGTATCTGCTGACACCGAAGTATCGCTATCACTTTATATTTCTGCATTTCGAACCGTGTCTCTTTTTCGCCAAGTTCTTCCTTAACTTAGTACGCGAAAGTTGCCGAGCGGCCGAATAAGTTTTGTATCGCGCCACGATGAATATGAATAGAATAGGCACAAAGAAAACGAAATTGGTGAGGAGCGGGTTCGCGTTGCGCTGCTCTTCAGATTTTGCGCTACTCTCCTGTCTGTTGGAAATTACTACCGGCTTGTTAGTTTTTTGCACTCTCACTACATATATTTACGAATGCTAATGCGCTACTTTCATATCTCTTTGTTCCAATGTTTTCAATTTTTTTATTCAGAGCTAAAATAATGAAAGTTATTTGCGTCTAATTAGACATTTTATGTCATTTTTCAAATTGCGAAGAATGAAAAAAAAAGTTCTCCAATATACATTTCTAGAAGCTCACGGGCGTAGAAATCGGAAATACGTTCGCGGCGTTCATAAAAATCTCTCCGTCGCCCGCGGGCGTCAGTCAGCGTGCTCGACCGCAAAACAATAAACGCGCTCGTCCTTCCCCGTAATCTCGACATCGATAATTTCGCATAAGCGCGTGGGAGAATCCGCCGGCGTGGTTCGAGCGCTCAAGGCGGGAGTCGTCTTGTCGGAGGGGATGCGCGCGAAAAAGAGAATTGTAATTTTCTCGAACGCTGTACGGTCGCCTATACGCCCCGCGGCGAGCGAGTTTGAAACGACCTACCGGCACCACCCTCTCTCCCTTTTCTCCCCCCTTTCGTATTTACCGAGATACATTGCTACAGCGGAGCGTAGCTCTGCGGCTCCATTGATGCATACGAAAGCCCGTACGCCGTGAGTAATTCGGAAGACGATGAATCTGACTTGTAGATGAGAGATACATGTGGGACAAGTAGCACGACTAATGCTGGCGCATGTAATTCTTATCCTATCATAGAGCAAGAAGCAGAGTAGAGCATATTGCATTGATGCAAATGTAGAATCCTACAAGTTAGTAAGCTCTGAGAAAAAGGAATCAATTATAATAACATTAATATTTTTTAAAGAAAAAGGTGCAAAAACAATTTGCTGTGACTTTTATAGCACGCAAAGCTTATTTAATTTTTTATTAAAAAAAAAATTGTTACGAACAAAAACGAAAATATATGAGATATTTACGAGTAAAGAATTATATGCGTTCGGGTCGTTTAACATTTTGCCGACTAAACATTTTATTCTGAGTGTTAAAATACTCGAGATACATGGGAAAATAATGTAACTAGGTTGCAGTTAAGCTGCGATATTGCAAAGCGTTGTTTTGAGAAGAACGAGCTTGCACGTACGTACAATATGGCTTTGTGTATCGAGCGAAATACCTGGAACAAGTAACACAACTAACGCCGGTGCATGCGGTTCTTATTCTGTTATACGTGCCAAAAAACTCGTGACACATTCGTGCACGATGCAGCCGGCCGTGCATGAGAACTGCACGAAATAGTCGCGTGGCGTGGAAGGCGCCGCTTTGAGACAGAGCGAAATGGGCTCGTACATCACAAAAGCAACTTGCAACCTTGTTACGTAAGTCGCACGCGGCGTCGGAAAATATGGTAATGAATTTCTCGTATATATTTGCGTTTAACTGCTCTTACTCTGTTGTAACAAACCATTAACCTGGCGTATGCATTAAGCAACCAAGTTTCCCGAATTTTCCTCTCTACTTCTCTCTCGCCACTCGTTTCAAAAGAACTTCTTGCGCTTAAAAGGTGACAATTATTTTTCAGACAAAGCGCAATGTTTGTCTGCGAAACGAGAAATTACAACAATATCATGTTCGCGAGATAAAAATATATGTGTATTCTGACATTGCGTGAGTGAAACGTTTTAATGTTTAACTTTATGTTTAACTTTAGCTTAATTACATTTGATAATTATGATAATATTAATGCGCGAAACGTACACAACTTATTCTTAAAAATGTACTTTGTGTCTTAAATATTTATTATACTCTCTCTCTCTCTCTCTCTCTCTCTT